CATTTCCTCGGGAATCGCATAGCGCAGCCGCTCCGGCGCCGCCCGGCAGCCCCAGGAGAGCAGCCAAGCGCACAGCAGCCCTGCAAGGGGTCCCATCCAGTGCCTCTGYCTGTGCCGCCTCTCCATTCTCAGGAATCCGCGCTATGCTCYGTTCTCCCGTTTCTTYCTTTCSGTCTCTGTCCGTTCGGCGCTCTTGAGACGCTAGCACCGGCGGTTCCGATCTCAAAATATCCTTTTCCAGACTACGTATTTCGGGGCATGGAATAATCGTGTTGTCGGCCTCTCGCCGGCTCTGCCGCCGGGTCTTGGTCCTTCCCTCCCTCTCAATGGCTTTTTCTTTTCGTGCCGGTTCAACCCRTCCGGCGCTCTGCCAGAGAGCATCCGCCCCGCGGGAGGCTGCAGAGGCTCCGGTTCTGCTTTTTTTTTTTCTGAGACGTCGTTTCGTATTGGGCAACAGCGGCACCCGGAGGTCCCGCGACGACACTGCAGCCCACCCGCAGCGGCGCCGGGTTCCGTGAAAGCGRCAAGCTGCCGTCGCGCTTTCCCCACGGGAGCTCATCATCCAGGAGCGTCTTCCTAGCAGCTTCAGGTCGTCACCCTGTGACCCTCTGTGCTGTCACAGCAGGTCGCCTCTGGGAAGCAATCTGTCTTCTCCAGAAATATCTCCATGGCTTCAGTACTTTCACTCTCAAAACTATTAACTTCCCCTAATTTATGAGGAAAAACTCTGGGGAGAATATTTCCCTCCCTTACTTTTATGGTTCTGGAATCTGCCATGCTGTGGCARTATTTCTACTGCTTCATCGATGCTTCCTGGCCTAAGGATAGGCTGCAATAAGCAGACAGCAGAAGAAACCTTATATAAGTGCAAAAATATGGAAGGATTTCACATGTTTTGTGAAKAGTAATGTATTTTATAGTAATAGTAATAGAATAGTAATGTATTTTAAAACTGAAAGATACAAAACCTCTGAAAGAGGTCTTATTCCACCTACCATCTAGAAATCACTTTTCCAAAATGGAAAACATTCTATTAAGCAGTGAGCATTTATTTGGAAGGTGTAGGATAGGTCTGTGGGTTCAACAGACATTAAAAATAATYCACTAAATTATTATCAATCCTAGGAAAAAAGGGTACTATAAACCAGAGAGCATGAGACAAATTACAAGAGGTACTGTAAAGTAAAAGTAATGAGAGAAATAACAATATGTCTCACACTGCACACRGGCTACTGCTCCCAGTAATGAACATGAGGGACAAAGTCATCACCTTCTTGCCAAAACTGCTAAGATGTTCATTGAATTCTCACTCCTTCCACTTTTGCCYCTTATCTTATTGTGAAGATACTACCAGGACTGTCAGGTTTCGAACATAGCATTCAAACAACCTTGTTCGCATCAACACTCTAAAGCTGGATGCATACAGAGAGTGGCAGCACGACAGCATTCCTGCAGAAAGGCAATTATTCAGAAGACCTCAGTGGCTTCAGACCATGAATTACAAATCACCACACAAACATACAGAAAAAGACCCCAGAAAGTTATCTGGTGGAGGCTTTGGAAACTGAGAAAGATACACTGCRATGTTTTTGTTCCTTCCAAGTGGCTTGAAGAGGCACAAAACTAGAAYCAATATCTTGCATAAATAAGAGCAATATGTTAATCTATTCTTGGAGTACCATTATAGCCATGGACAACACTGGCTGAACTGCACTGCTCCCAGTCTTATGGATATACTGTGACAGCATTATAGAGCTAACACAAAATGAGAACTAAAAACTTATTCTCCAACCTGTACTCACTTGTTCCAGACCATTATCACCATTCAGTTATAAAGACTCACAGATGGCCCTCTCAGCACAGCCATAGACACGTATGATTCCAGTTTCATCTCTTCCACACCACATCCTCTCTGTTCTCCTCAGAGCACTGACCTCCAAATGGCCTTTTCACTATTCCTTGCAGTTACTGATGTTATGCCTTGCTCTACTTGTTTCTGTTGACCAACATCTCACTACATTATTATGGTCATGACAATCCAGGACAATGGAGATCTCGGTTTCTAGCATGTCAGTCATGAAGTTTCCCCAAGGATATGTGAAGACAGTATTCACTGCACTTACTTACAGTCTGACCACTCATGCCAAGTGAGATATGGCACAATGATATCTAGGGCTCCATACACTGTTTGGAACCATGCTCCAGCTTGCCTTGTCATATCTCAACCATACTGTTCACTTATCAAGACTGACGCTATTTTTTGGTGTATTCTACTAAGGAAGCACCTCTTCTTAACAGCCATTAGTTATGGGAGAAGCTGTAGGGTAAGCTAAGGATCATGTGAAGAATAAGAAGTCACACACTGCTAACATGGACTATGTACTATCTGCCAAATATTTGTATCAAACATGACAGTGAAAATAATTGCCATAATTGTTTGGAGGAGAAATGGGAGACATGAATGGAAGACTCCAGAACTTTCTCATTGTTACCATCCTCTGGGAAGGAGGAGAGTCATCATTTGAGTCCTAGGCTTAAAAAAAAAAAAAAAAAAAAAAAAAAAAAAGCTAAAAGAGACAAAAAAAACCACTACATATCTTTCATATATAACAAGCCCTTACTATTTTCTAGGGCACTGTCAAATGTGGGTAATGTGAGAAAAGCACTCACTACACAAGACTAGGACATGAAGAAGTATGGTGAGTCATGAACTCATTTTGACCACCCCATCACTGCATTATTGTGGCCACAAACTCATATATCTAGAAGTCAAGGGTACTAATGATTTCTACTTCCATCAGTGTAAACTGTGACTCTTCCCCAAGGACACATGATGAATTTGCAACCTCAGAGCCCTTCCCAAACCCAGTCTTGTGTACTATTTGGCAAGCCATGTAGCCTTACTTGGCTGGAATAGAGAGATACATCAAACTGAGAAACTGTATTTCTATCTTCTCCCATATATACCCACCAAGAAATTTCATATTCCTTGGAACCCATGTGTCATCTTCTTTTTTTCTTTCTTTTTTTCTTTTTTTCTTTTCAGGAATCACCATAACGTGCAAGCCATCTTCCCTGTCATCTGTTAGGATCATCTCCTGAAGTGGACAAATATCTAAATGGATTGATGCTCCTCTAAGGATCKACAGTATTTGGGATGTAGGGCATTCTATCTTTTTAATATCTTTTTAACAGTTGCCTTAATCTTTTTTATTTTTTTATTTTATCTTTTTCCACATCAACACTATAGAGATGTGTGTATGCAAAGGATGCAGCAGACTTCAATGAYATAGGACTTTCAAAGACAACGATTACAACAACAAAAGCAGCACAAATCACACCGATTGGAGGTCTGAGACAAATAGAGAGATGTGAATGGCAATTCCCAGAGCTTTCTCAGYTTTGGTCTCCTGTGGGAAGGGTATCAGCCATCATTTCAGTCCTACCATAAGAAAACTCCAGGAGATGAAAAAGTGAAACACATAGCTTCAATGCCCAAGAGGCCTCTGCTGTTTTTATAGAGCACTCTCAAATGTGGAAACATCCATACTTGCACTGCCATGTGCACATAATCCTGTGCCACAAGCAACAGCATTTCATTAAGAAGCATGTTTTGCAAGCCTACGTACAACGAAGTCATGGTGTTTAAATCTTTAAACTGAAATTAACTGTGAATACTCTTCCTCCTGGCATGCCTTTCTAAGGGAAAAGCCATTATCAGACACAAGGGAGCTTACATATCAGTCAGGAGAAAAAAATGCGACTGATGTTTGAAACATCCAGAAGTGGAGGGATCATACCAGGAAGAAATTATTCATAGTATTAATAATAAAAATCTTACCACACTGCCCGGACATGAGGACCAATCCTTGGTGAGCCTATACTACTTTAAAAAGTCTTATATACAAGATGTATCTACGAAGAGTGGAGATGACAAAGGGTCCACCATGGAAGCAAAAAAAGAGTGAAATTTAATTGGAAAGGACTAAGACAAAACATTGCTTTGTTCACATCTCTGTTTAAAGACAGATTTATCCATTTGAACACATGCCCTGGAGAAGGTGTAACGTCTGTTTACCTATGAAGGTAAAGGTAAGCATGGGTCCATTACCTAACATTCAGATGAATATTTGAATTACCCATGAAAGTTGGTTAACGGAATAATGATATGGCACAGGTGCTTCAGAGATCCAGCCTCAGAACAGGCCATTAAAGCAATGGGAAAATATATTAAAAAAATACATTTACAAAAAAAAATTACATTTCTAAGAGATCCATATTCACATCATCAGTAGTGCTGCATAAGCGAATTATGTTGGCAATAGAGACAATGGGAGGAATTGGTCGGCCAAAACCAGACCAAGGAGCATGCTATTTGAAACAAAAACTCTACACTATGACAGCCCTGCAAAAAGAGAACATCAAAACGCTTATAACGTATCTATAATCCTCATAAATGTCAAACAAATAGCACCCAAACATTCACAGAAGGCAACATTTCTCTCTATGATACACTAGCATGCCCTTATACACAAAAATGAGGTACATTTTTATGTTTCGCACACCCTTATGGCAAGTCATAAACATCTAAAAGATAAGGATGATCTAACACCGAAGACATGAAGACTTGCACCAGAGACTGGGTCGAAAAACTGCTTGCTTAAAGAAAATCTTTAAGATCCTACTCAGGGGATCATTAGGGCATGATATGTCCAAAACACACGACTCCTCCCCTAACATAGCAATTATTGAGAGCAATTTCAATAATAAAACTATTTAAATCAACCTACACTCCCATCTCCTGCATACCACAGCAACTCCAACACTCCGAAAGAACCTGAAAGACACACAAAGAACCGAGGAGGACCTGCTTCATCCGGATAAGGGACTATGTCTGCAATTGCAAAGAAATACAGATGGAGATGAGAAAATCCATTGCTAGCGAAGTCTATAAAACCAAGACAGCAAAGCATGAAAGGAGGGTAATAGCAGGGGGAGCCAACAGTAGGGTGTCAGCTATCATCTGAATTCTAGAAAAATCTACAAGAAATCGAAAATGAAAACATATGATATATTCATGGTCAATACGTCCCTCCTGAAGCTCATGCTCCCTGTGTGGATCATAGATCCTAAAAGGAATTTCATTGTCCCACAAAGGTTTCTCCGCTCGTTATCCCACCACCGAAGAAAAGCCACCATAGTGTGAGATGAGTGAGCTCTTTAAGAAGTAATGAAATAATAATCTGATCACAAAAAAAAGAGATCTAAAAGTACCTTTACATTTCTAACAGTGCCGCACCATCAAGAGCACACAGAAAGCAAATTTCATGGGCAAGAGAGATCTTGGAAGCAATCACAATCATACCGTTGGTTATAGCTCTATGTCCGCGTTTTAACGCACAACAATGCGACAGAGATGGCGAGGAGGAGGAAAGCAGGGGGACTACAATGCCTGCGGAGGGTCAAAAGAACGAGAAACGGCGGCACAAAAGAGGAGTGGGAAAGGTTCTCAGGTGAGACTCACCAGGAGGGCGTCTCCGCTGTGGGCGTCGCCGCGGGCGCTCGCGGGCTCCTCAGGCAGCAGCAGCGGCGCGCCTTTGTCGGGCGGCGGCGCGGCCGGGAGGGTGTTGCAGCAGCTGCCGCCCGGACAGCCGAGCTGGCTCTTGCGCGAGTCGGCGCTCAGCGACACGTCGTGCGCGTACGAGTGCAGGAAGGCGCGCACGCCCTCGATGCCCACGAAGTG